AATAATGACACGTGCGCGACGGTCGCTGATGATAAAGAAAATCTAGAACAAGTTATGTCGTTGTAGCTTCTTAGGTTGCTGGACTTGTGAGCTGAGCACCCGCTGTACAATGATGCTCCTATAGGCCGTCGTGGCCTCGTCACCAAGGACTTCGCCGTCCTCCTCATCTGCATCTTGGTCTTCTTCATCCTCAATGTCAGAGGTGCTGATATAACCATCTTCTGTAGCAATATATGCCTACTGACTTGGGCAATCCTTCTGACATGGCCAATGCCATGGCAGCAGTGGCACTGAATGCCCAAAGTGTGTCATGTCAATGCAACGGATGAGGAACTCTTGGTAGGCACCTGCAAAGAATTTTTACCTAAATTTGAAGGTCGTGTAGGAGGTGCCTTAGGTGTAGTGGAAACTCCAGAGGCTGTTGGTCGCTTGCTCGCTGGTGGAGGCGCCCGAAAAGTGGTTGGCTTAGTCAGCCCCGAAGATGGTGCTGAGCGTGGCGTGTATGTGGTGGTGCTGACCTTGCTCTTGCTCTGCTGTTCACGCTCCTACAATTCCTTTTCTGCAAGCATAGCAAACTAAAACAACTGGTTGACAGTGTTAAATTCTTTATAATCAATAATGTCCTGAATCTCACGCCTCAAACTCGAATAAAAACGACAAATGGCATCTTTGTTTCCCTCCACAACACTACAACGTATCAATCCCTTTTGGAGCTCACCATAGTAATCATGTATAGATTTATCTCCTTGTTCTAAACGCATCAATTTCTTACGCAAGTCTCTATGATAAGGAGGAACAAAGCGATCACGCATAGCTACCTTAAGTTCTTCCCACGTAGCAGGTAAAGCATCCTATGTAGCTAGCCCATTCCACCAAATAATGGAAAAATCCTTAAACTTACTAGTAGCTTGACGAACTCTATGATGCTCAGGCACAAGGTGGACACTAAACTTTTGTTCTACTGTCATCTCCCAATCAAGATATCCATCAGCATTGTAATGACCCGAAAAAGATGGTATTGTGAACTTAATCTTAGCATAAGGATCATCGGGTACACGGTGATTATTACCTTGATGGTGGTGGACACCACCCATACCTGTCGTGTTGCGGTGAAGGCGTTGTTGTAATCTTGCTTGTCGAAAGGCTGCTCGATCTATGTTTCCAGCGGCATCATGCATCGTGTCTTCTGGCAAGAGACCATCGGTGTTGCTGCCGGAGACGTCATTGTTGTTGACCGCCACCAATGTTTCCAACTCACTAACCTTGTCGGTTAGCGTGGAAATTCGTTTGTCTAATCTCTCCATGTTGTTGCCAATGTTGAGTTCAATGAGTGCGTCAGTGACGGCCTTCCTGACGGCCTCATTCATCCTTTTTTGGACATCCTCTACAACAGCTTATAGTTGCTCTTGGTTGACACACTCGTTGAAACCCTTAGGATTGTTATCTTCAGTCTGTTCACCTCCGGCCATATTAAACACAAAAACAGGAACAAACGGTGAAAGTTATCCCTACCAAATGACTACGTGGTTGCAGTGGTGTCACTTTTCACAGCAAGTGAAAGCGTCTTACCAAGCTCTTACAAAGTTCTTACCAACATAGCAAAGGGTGGTACAACCGTGGTTTGGTTCATGATACTGTGAGGCAATTGGTACCGAGATTGCAAAGCCCTTTTTTACATCTTGATCTCAAGAATTTGTGGAGCTTGGAAGGCAAACAAAGAGTAATATGTATATCCAAGCACACAAGTCAAGAATGTGAAAGTAATACTGAATTATAGTCCAAAGTACTTGTTCTCGTTGCTGGTCTAAAATATTCCAAGTACCAGGTGTGTGACAAAGTATGGTGGATAGCAAGGTGACAGGTGTGTGAAAAACAAGTATGGTGGATGGAAACAGCAACACACACAAGGAACCAGACATCACACGCTAACATAGCTCACTTTGGTCTTCTCTATGTGCTCATCTAGATATTGTTCCTCTTTTGCCCCTCTTTTTTTCTATTTTTTGGGCTGTCGTTGTTTTTTTAGAAATTTTGAATTTTTTATTTTATTTTATTTTGATATTTTTCCTTTACTTAGGAGCACAAAAGAAGTAACCACAAAAAATATGAGCTTAAACAGGTGAAAGACGTGGCCTATGGAAAATTCAGAAAACTTGCTCAAAATCGACACAAACCTTGTGACCATGAAAAGAGAATCTTGTGACCACTTTTTGACCAATTTAAAAATTTCCGACCCTAACAAGATGGGGGATGGACGGATCAAAAAAAAAATTCTAATCGATTTTGATATATGGAACGTCGAAATCGGAGTTCGTATGTGAAAACTAGACCCGTTTTAAGAATTGGCTCCGAATTAGAGGACAAAACGGGAACAATGTGTACAAAACTGGTCACAACAGCAAAGATTTGATGGAAACGATGGGGGAAAACATACGAACTAGACTCTAACACGACCTAACCAGCAACAAAATCTTGACCATGACACAAACTCAACACGACGGACTCTGAAACTGAAATATGCAAAGGCTATGGCGCGGAAGGTTCTAGGACAGGAAAAACGAGTATGGCACTGGATTATGGGACGAATGTGAAACACTCAAACTAGAGAATAAATGTGAACCTGACGGTATACCTTAGCTCTGATACCACTTAATGGAGACAGGGATCCCGATCTTCCGTCAGGTGGTGGTAACTATCATTGTGGCGGAGAATGACACACCGATCCGGCTTCAGATCGAAAGATCAAACCCTGCAATCTTAATACCATAGCTCATCTGGTTATCAATCGAGTCACAGACCAGGTTGACCTCGCCAAGAAGGCTAATCCCTACATACGCAACGAAGAACACAAGCAAGAACAAGAAAGAACACAACCAATTTGCAAATGAATGATTAATCTCTTAAAGTTGGGGTCTCACAAACCGATGAACGGTGAAACTGTTCTTGACAGAATAATCTAAGCAAAACACAAACCCTAATGGAGGGGTGACGGCTGTTTATGAAGACTCTAGGGTTGTGTAAGACCCCTAGACGCGCCCTAATGGGCCCAAACACGATACATGGTCCAACGGACCAAAAGTCGGTGTCGCAGCACCCTGATAGATTCCGGATGCTGACTTGTGACCATGATTCTCGTTGATTCCGAATAGCTTTTGATATGAGACCACTTGGATTGGTTTCCTTATCAAATTAGCTTTCCATCCATATATGGATCGTCGAAAACGGAGTCCGGATGCGTCCTGGGTGACCAGTTTAAGGCAGACTGGTCCTGAAGGCCGAAGCAGACTCGAAATCATGTTGGATCGGGCCTCTGGTTTCTGTTGAACGTCCTTGCTGGTCATCCTCGCGTCCACCATGTCCTCTAAGTCCCTCATGACCCTCTCCAATGTTTCTAAGCAAGATAACATCATTAGGTAATAGTCTATTTTCAAAAGTATGAAAATGATCGTTTAATAACGAGCTCACCTCTAAATTGAGTTGTCGCATTCGAGCCTGGGTCATTGGACCTTGCATGACGGTTGGAGGATCAGTGGGTGCCTCTGAAAAAGTGATGTCCTCATCAATTGGTGTCACTTGTCTCTTGGATTTCTCCCGGTGATTAATTGGTATTTATCTTGTGATTGATTTATCCCTCGATGCGACAGTATAATCACCCTACTCTCTCATTTATTTTTCCGCAAACTAGTTGTTAAGCTCTTTAGTATAGCTAGTTTTTTAGAGCTTGTTAGTTTGGTTAGTGTGGCTCTTTAGTTAGTCCATGAGAGCACACTAACTTAGTGAGTAGAGACTTAGCTCTTGTATGTGCTAGTGATCATAATAACTAGATTTGTTGGGTTAGGTGGCTTGCAACCCTTGTAAAGCTAGAGCAAGATTACATTGGGCCATGTCTTACTAATCAATTTGCTTTAGTGCTTTCGTAGAATTTATAATAGGCTATTCACCCCTCCTCTAGCCATATCAGGACCTTTCACGGGTGCCAAACCATGTTGCCTCTTCCCCATCCCCCATCCCCTCTGCCCTCGGCCATGGCTCCCTTTCCCTTCTTCGTCCCCTTCTCTCCTTTGGCCCCTCCACCTTCACTTCATCCACCACCTACCATTTCCACCGAGCTCGAGCGAGTGCGAGCTTAGATCCAATTCTGTCATGGCCGCCGCCTGAAAGCTCCTCTTCCTAGCCATGGCGTGCCAACAACGCCTACATGCTATCGCTCGCAACAACGACGACGACAAGCACGACCCTCTATACCTCGCTGCGCAGGTCTGAGGAGGTAGGCCTAGATCACCGGAGGGTGGAGACATCGTCGGAGGAGAGGCTGGCATGCTTGGTAGTGCTCTCGCCACCACCACCAAGCTCTACAAAGAGGATTTGCGCTACTCCAAACCCCTGAGGGCGGCGGTAGTTGCGAGCAGCTTAGAGGACGGCAGCTATAGTAGTCTGGTACTGATAGCGAGGAGAGAAAAAGAAGTGTCAGTTATGGAGCCCAAGCTATCGGGGGAGATGCAACTCTTTTTTTTTAGAGGAGATGGAGTTTTTTTAATGATAAAAAAAGAAAGACGGCCTGTTCGTTTGGCTGGGTTTGTTCGTTGCTGGATCGTAAAGAAGTACTGCTGACTGGTTTGGTGTGAGAGAAAAATACTATTCCGATTAAAAATCTACGATCGTTTACGACCGTATAAGCCCAGCCGAAACGAGAGTTATTAGGGAACCTTTCCCTACCTGCCGTGGTTGGGCTGTTGCCACCGCCCATGGACGGGCTCGGCATGGCACGACAAGCCTAGTGAGCCGTGCTTTAGCGGGCCCGTACGGGGCCAGCCGGCCAGGCCGGACTGTCCATTTGGCATGTATACGGGTTTGGGAGTTTGGCGCTCGTCGTCTCCTCTCCTCACAGGTCTCTTTCCCCGTTGCTTCTAGTACCTTCCTAGGGTTAGGTTTCCACGCAGCAAGCGACCCCCACTGCCCCACACGGCTTCCAGCACAGCCTTCCGGAAGGAGCAGGCGCGATGTGGCACGAGGCGCGGCGGTCGGAGCGGAAGGTCCACGACCTCATGGACGCGGCCCGCCGCCGGGCGCAGCGCCGAGCCGCCTACCTCGCTCGCCGCCGCGGCGACCCGCAGCAGGCGCTCCAGGTCTCCGGCACGCGGTGCCGCGTCCACCGCGACGACGCCCTGTACCAGGCCACCGAGGACCAGCAGGGATTGTGCGTGCCCCGCCCTCTCTCACCATCTTTCCTTCTCTCGGTGCGGTGCGATGCTTGGTCGCAGCGGAGGCACTGTTCCGGATTTGGTCTCGTGGGTTATCCTGTGCGAGTTGAAAGTTTACTGTAATAACTGATGATGGAGTCTGGGGCGCTGAGTCTCGGATAAAACCATGGCATTGCCAATTTTCTCTGATGAAGCATAGTCTGTTATCTCCAAAAAATGGATATTATCTCTTTCTTGTAAAAATATTCAGTTTACTGAAAATTGGAAATGACGGCTTGTTGTCATCGCTTGATTGCTGCTACTCATTCACTATGCTTCTTGCAGGATACCATGGAATGGAAAGCAAGATGTTTTGATTGACAGGTAACTATCATTTATTGTGTTCATGATAGATTATCCTAAGAACAAGAAAATCAATACCCATTATCTTTACAATGAACAGATTTGATGGCCGTGCATTGCTTGATTTTATCCGAGACTCGAGCTCTCGTCCTTTTCGAGTCCAAGAGAAATCTGAAGAAAAGGAAGAGTTAGAGGAATTTGTTAATTTTGAACGTTATCGGGATTTGATTAAGCATCGTCGCAGAGGATGTCGGTACCTTTTTGGTTTCTCTGTTCTATTGCTGTTGCTGTAGGAATTTCATGTCTTGCATCCATTTACATCACTTAAGGGATTGTCCTGATGCACACTTTGTTCCTAAATTAGTACATAAAAAGGGTGCTATTTCTCAATTCATAGCACTAGTTAACTGAACATTTACTTCTCTTCGCAGTTTCTGATGAGGCCGGTTTGCAGCATGTTGTTCAAGAGTTGGAGGCAAAAGCTCTTCTTCCTTTTAGCTTTGACAAGTACGCTTGCTCTTAATTTTGTGTCCTCTATTTCCTCTCCTGCTCTTGCAACTTACATAGTTACATTTATACACAGAACATTGTTGTGAAATGTTAAGGAATGAGAGCAATAATTCTTTGCTCTACCAAATGACACCACCACTACCACAAAAGCTGGTAGTCCCTAGCAACTTGGGGTAGGTCAGAGGATTGACCCTACAATAGGATTGATATAAAATATGAGTACAGTGCTAGTAATGACAACAGAGTAGTAAAAGGAACTTGTTCCTAGGTCGTTACTATGCACATGGATCACTATTGTTTTACACCCCTTTTCTAAAGACAGTTGTTCAGACAGATTCCACTCTCTCAAGTTTCTCTTTGCTGCTCTACATAATAAAAATTGCATTCATGCATTGGTATAAGTTCTGATTCCGAATGAGTAAAGTACTTCATCAAACTCAAAGGTTTGCAAGATATTTTGTGGTTGTTGCTCAGGGAAGCTACACTTATAACAGACATTAAAGTATCGTATGACTAGGGAAACTACACAGACAACTGATATTAGAGGACTGTATGATTTTTTATCATTGAAAATTTCTGTTGGAGTAAATTGTATAGCCTTATAAATTTCTTCTAGAATATTTTCATTCTTAAGAGGATTAATTGCTTAAACACAAGTGTATCTGGGTATTACCGATATGTTTTTAACTGTTTAACGCTTTTGCATAATCATAATGAAAGTCTGATAAAAAAAACACCATACTGGTTTTATCAACTTTTTTATGCCGATTCAGTCAAAGAGTGCTTGAATCCTTGAACTTAATAAATATCATCTTCAATGCTTTGTACATATTTAGTATGTCATTGACTACTAGAAAACATCTTGGTGGTTGTTAAAAGGAAGATATTTTTCAGAGTTTTTCAATTTGGGCTGTTTCTGTTGGCACATTCTCACCGCATTTGACAAATTAATTGTCCAACAATATTCCTCTCAACAAGCACAGAAAGAAGAGGCTTGCGCTTACAGGTTTAGGTGGCTACCTGTATTTTCAGCACTCTAAACCTTAGGGACTGATTAGGATAAAAATATTTTCATCTAGTCCTGCCGTTGTGCCATAGACAGCCTACTCGTTATTATGTGTTCATGTTTATCTGAAAATAATACAAAAGATATGTTTAGTTAAATTACAAAAGCTGATAAACTTGACACTTGTTTATGCAGATGTGTATGTCATTGCCAATGTCTGTCGCTCTTGTGATTTGCTATGTTCCTAGCATGATTAGCTCTCATATGCATTGACATTTGCCTGGACTAGCTTAACTCTAAATTTATGAGCAAAAGAAGTTTAACCTAAGACCAAGAAAACAATCATTAACAAAAGTTGGAATAGAGTGATGCTAGTACGGGGACAGAGGAGAAAGATAGAGGGAGAGACTTTCCAAATAATCTAGCTCATTTGTGGACATCAGCCAAATTGAACAAGATGAAAGCATTTAATTCGACATTCCTGATTTTTTGAACTAGCAGGTCATTAGTTGGATACTTGAATCTACCGAATAAGTGCACAAATCAGCTCATACCTGAGTAGACACCAATTTATTCATCTTCCCTCTGTTCTGAATATTCCAGATGTAAACCAGACTTAAATAATGGGGTACATAACATTATGCATACCTAGAATGTTTATTTTAACCAATGTTCAAAAAAACGCTAGACGCTAGGCAAACGCTAGCCTATGGTTTAGAGTTTAGGAAGTTTAAACGTGATTAAACGTGATTAAACGTTATTGAGGCAGACAGGCAGTACACATTCAATCTTAACCCTAAATCCCCAATCCAATTCATCAATTGAGTGATTGACATGCAGAAATCAAAACTACAGAGCATGGGAAGATGGGGAGAGACCGAGGGGGCACCTGGAGAGAACGAGCGAGGGGTTGGGCCTGCACCGGCCGGCCTCTGCGTTGCCGTTGTCGACTCCTGGTCCTGCGCCGGCGGCCTGCCCTCTGTTGCAGGCGACGGCCCCTGCACCTGCGGCCTCTGCGGCTGCCAAGGAGAAGGGGAGCCCCAGCGACGACCCCTACGGCCCTACCAACGGCGGCGAGGAGCGACCAGGCAGGAGGCGGGACTGGAGTGCGACAAATCCCGACACTGTTTCTTGCGGCCGATTTGTGCTCCCGCGTCGGGCCCGCCTGCTGTTTTCCGCGCCCTCCCGCGCTTCTTTCCCGCGCGCGCCGCGCGCGATTCCTTCCCTCTCCCCGCCCACACGCCGCACACTTCCCTGCTCGCGAGCCGTGCGTTTTCCACCGCCTAGTTCCGTTTTTTGACCGATTCCGCGCCGTTTAATCGCTGCCGTGCGTGTAAACGAGCGCCTAGGCGCGCCCAGCGTCTAATTGAGCGTCTACCCCCTAAACGCAACGCTGGGCCAACGTTTAGCGTTTAAACTAGATTAAACGACGCTTAATAACGTTTTTTTGAACATTGATTTTAACCATTTGGTATGACTCGTATCGTTGCTTCTCTGTGAGATACAGTTTATTTTTCATCAAATCCTGTGTTTCATTTTTTTTTCTGGTTTCACTCTTAGTTATTGTTTGTTCTTGTTTCTGGTAGACCTCAATCCTCACAGCCTCCTGCTAGCAAAGGTGCATATTCACAGGTTGGATACTCATATAAAGGGGAAGGAAATGAGGAATCTGAAGACCTAGACAGTGATGATGATGATGAAGAGGAAGAAGATGAGGATGATGACAAGGACTTCAGTAGTGATGATAGCAGTGATGAGCGAATGGAAAGTATAGCCAAGGAATTTGGGATAAAAAGATATAACTGGCTTGTTTACAAGGACAAAAAAAACAAAGAAGAGGAGAAGCGGCAGAAAGAAATTGTTAAAGGCGACCCATCTATCGTGCGTGCCTTAATAGCATGTAATATTTGTCTATTTACTTGCTTTTTTGCTTCTTGCAAGAAGTAATATAATCAAATTGTACAGAAAAAATTGAGCCGTAGAGAAAGAAGGAAAGCTTCTCAGATTGAGCGGGAAAAAGAGAGGGAGGCAGCACGTTCTGTTGGACGGGTATCTTATCATGATCCTTATAGGTAATGCTATTTATCATTCTTCGAAGTTCTAACAAAGAAGACAAACTGGAATCATTTTTATGACAAGGTTATACTTCTGATGCCTGACACCATATATATAATAATATAGGGAGCAAAGGAGAAGCCCATCATATGAAGCATATTCAAGGGGCAGAAGGTGCATTCCATGTTCATTGTAATTTTGTTTTCACAAAAGTATCTGCTTTCCTTAATCTCTGTATATATATTTCATGCTGACAGATCAAGGTCGAGATCAAGATCTCGTTCACCATCCCATTTTAGGCGTCATGGCCGTGGGATACATGCTGAAAGCAATTATCGGAGCAAGCCGAAGGCTCCTAGGGTTGAATATATTACTGAATTTGGAGGTTCTGATGACACCAGTGTACCAAAAGTTTCAGGGATCTCTCCGCCTTCGTCTCCAATACGAATTGACATACCTAACCGGTCGGGAAACTCGACTTTTAATATTTGCAAATATACATTGGACGAACTTTTCTCTGATGGAGCTTATTACATCAGTCCTGGTATTCTGAAGATGACTATGTCAGGAATAGGATAGATCAAGACATGGTCATGATGGTATCTATGGTGTAAAAAAATAGTTGTTTTGTAGATAGGCATGCATTTTATGGTTCCTTTTATTTTTGCTAAGCAGGAAGAAGATTTAACATGCATAGATCTACAGTCAGCTGTGGAGTTTATGACCTGCGCATCATTGGTCCTTGTGAATTATTATGGCTATAATACCCCATATCCTTGCAGGTTGTCAGGTGGTCAAATTCTTGAGGCACTTCACAGTGATCCTGCGTCTTCTTTGTCTGTGGAACAGGAAAGAACTGCAAAACTTTTGAAACCACCCCCCAGGTTTGTCATGACGATTACAATGTTATGAAGAGAGCGGCTGTATGTGCATCCGAGTTGCTTGCGATTGATATCCTGTGTTTGTCTAGAACCCTTTACTTTATTTTCCATGGGCATGATATGCCGTCTCAGACTTGAGCATATCTCTGTTACTGGAAAATTGTCTTGTATTTTTCATCATTACTGACATGTGATTTCTGTTAACAGTACATCATCAGCACTAGCTAAACTAAGCAAGGGTGCTTCTGGAGGAACTGGTAAAACTCCCCAGACTGAAAAGAAAGAAACACCACAAGAAAGACTTAAGAGGATAATGAGCAAACAGCTTAACAAGCAAAGTATGTGCTAATTGTTACATTCAATCTGCATATTAGATTTTGGTTGGTGCTAGTAGTCTCCTATGCATGTAAGCATACTAAGCTTATGTTTTTTGACAGTTAAAAAGGACACAGCTGCTGAGATTGCTAAGAAACGAGAACAGGAACGACAAAGGCAGGAAAAACTTGCTGAAGTTGGTCGATACAGGCATCGTAGCCGCAGTAGAAGTCTTAGCCGGTCCCCACCAAGGTAATTAAACTAATATTTGTTATTTCAGTTTGTTTTTTTCCTTTTTCATTGGAGAATTATGCTAAGCATGCAGATTTGTTGACCTCAATAGAAGTCATTTTCATCCCTAAAGCTATGCAAGTGGTTGCTTGATTGTTTTCCTCCCTAAACCATATTTTCATCTGGGAGGAAGGGACTGGGCCGAGCCATGGTGAAGGCGGGCCGCGTGAGGGAGGAAAAGGGCCGGGAGACGGGCTACTGGGCTGCGTCTTCTCCACTCCTTTCTCCTTTTCCATAACCAAAAGCATAAATGCTTATATTACCCACTTATATAAACATATATATGCATGTATACATATATGTTTATGTAGTTCTAGGAAAATAATTCTAGGTGCGTAAATCAAAGATCCACTAAGAGGCAACTCACATAGGGCCCACGTAAGCACAATGCAATGCATGACTTATGGTTTTAACTCATAATTAAATCAAGTTCAATTAACTGTTAAACAGTATTTGTTTAAAAAGTTATGATCGTGGTGATAACACCTAATATTGACTAGTCTGATAAACATCTTCTATATCTTCTAAATATCACCATTTCCTGGTGCAGAAGGCGGCGATATAGCAGAAGCCGTAGTAGGAGCAGAAGCCCAAGAAGGTACCGATCCCGCTCACTCTCCAGTTCCCGGTCGCCCTCTCGCTCTCCAAGGTAGTATCAGCGTTAGTTTAACTACAGCTCAGATTGTAAGTCCACTCTACTCTTTTAGATAGCAGCTGAAAGAACGATGATACTGCAGGTACCGAAGCAGGTCAAGACACTGAAAATATCCGGGCCCCTGCTAACAAAGTGCCTTTCCCATGTAGCCTCGCCATGTTTTAGTTAATTTGTTTTAAGCTTTTCATTCCCGCTGTTTGTGTACTCATGAGAAGCCTTCGTTTTTGTTGTCTTAGCCCTATTATCGAGAGTGTGTATTCCGTGGTTGCCCAGTTACGAATTAGATAAACTGCAGCTCAGTTTGGTTTACGTGAAGAACAGAACATCCTTATCTCCTTGAGTTTCAGAAGGTTTAATATCTGCTTCTCATGATGCCAACCACTTTCAAGTAAGCGTAATATGTTTTAGTTAGGGCCTGTTTGGTGGACCTCCCAGAGGAGCTTCCATGCTGAATTTAGGAGTTGTTTTGTCAAACAGTTTTTTTACTAAGAAGTGATCGTATACTGATTTTGTGAGTGATTCTCCAAAATGAATTCACTGCACGCAGAGTAACTGTATGTATAAGTTTATCCTAGAAAATCATAAAGAAACACTTTGCAGTCTGAAAATCACTTCTGTCAGTATCAACTTCCTCAGAGAATTTGGAGAAAGGGGAGCTCTATCGAGTAGGCCTTTGGCCAGCTCTATCGAACAGGCCCTAGCCTTTTGGCAAGTGGATACTGGAGTCTGAGTTTGAACCGAGCCCATTCTTAAACAAGCTGAAAGCAACCTACTTTTTGTTCAAAGCATACTGATAGTGATTTGTGTCATTCATGAGCTGGGCATTCGGAAAGATATTGGCAGCGGCCACAAGTGAACCATGCAAGACTCAGCCTGTTCATGTTCTCTCTGCATGTCCTGGGACGGGGTTGTCTGAACGACTCGATTGGTGGAACATAAAACTATCCCAAGGGCCCGTGCCCCGTGTCTGCTCCATAGTTTGAATTCTGGGGTTAAAGTTGGTGTCACGTCGGGTGTCACATGGGGTGTTATGTCACGTGTTTGGATAGTAACGATAAAATAAATTACAGAAGTCCTCAGTAATTCGCGAGATAAATTTATTAAGCTTAATTAATCTATCATTAGTACATGTTTACTGTAGCACCACATTGGTCCTGTTCGCTGGTCTGAAACTTGGCTGAAAAACACTGTTTCGGTTGGTTTGTTGTGAGAGAAAAACATTGTCTGGCTGGTTTGATGAACAGTGTCGCGTGAGGGGAACCAGCCGGCTGGCTGGTCTCCTCCAGACCAACGAACACCACCCTTGTCAAATTATGAACTAATTAGGCTTAAAAAATTCGTCTCGTAAATTAGTCTTAATATGTGTATTTAGTTTCATAATTAGTCTATATTTAATACTTTATACATGTATTAAACATTCGATGTGATAGGGACTAAAGTTTAGTAGGAGAAAAAAAAAACACTTGCCCATAGCATTTGACCCAGAGTGAGAGTGGGCTAGCTACGAAAATAAATGTCTAAGGAATCTTTGCTTCAAGTAAAAAGCTCCTGCTCCTGCAGCTATGCTGAAGAATCTATCTTCAGTGCGCACGCACGTGAGAACCCAACGGCCTCCTGCCGTGGATGCCGGTCTGCCGGGGCCGCTGCCCGGGGCCTCTTCTCCTTGGCTGCTGCTGCGGCTACGGCGGCAACTCACTCCAGCGACCAACAGCACGTTCGTTGGGCTATGGTTTGTTATAAATAATTATAAAATTTTAATCAAAATAATATTTTTCTCTTACACAAATCAATCAACAATATTTTTTTTATAAATCAACAACGAAATGAACTGACCATCCGAAGAGGCTGCAAGCCGGACGTCACACGTGTGCCTATCTGCGCACGGCTCAACTTGCACGGTGGCACGTGGCTAGCTTCACCGAAACACACAGGGATGTGATGTCATGGGAGTACGACGGGGACTGTCAGTCTGTCACAACCAGTAAAAAAAAACGCACACGTTTCCGACCATTTTTAAGCTTCTCCCCCATTTCCTTTTTCCTTCGAAGATTTTTTTCTTGAGATTAAGTGATTGTTTGGTAGATCTCTACTCTTTAATCCTCTAGCTGAGTGATTTAAGTAGAGAGTAGGTGGAAAGTGATTCGTAATAATCTAGCGTAAAAGAAAAGGAAAAAGCGATTCTTATCTGATTTCTATTACTGTAGAATCTATACAGTTTTTGCTGTTTAGCAGCCTGTTCGGCTGGGCTGGAGGATTGTGGCTGGATCATGGATTATTACTGCTGACTAGTTTAATGTGAAAAAAAAATACTGTTCCAGCTAGAAACTTACGATCGTATACAAGATCCACCAGCCAACCGAACAGGCTGTAAGTTAGGAAGAATGATTCTGCGAAGAAACTTACATGAGCACTACCAAACAGTCTCTAAAAATATAACTTCCCCGTTTAATAACTACAATTATTGTTGGCCCCAATAGAATCGATCTGGCTCAAGCACTAGCTTTGAATGTACGGAGAATTAACCTAGACTCAAGATGTTGTATACTGTCGTAGTTTGACAATAATTAGTTTTGTATATCAAAACTAGAAATTGTTTGAGAAACAGTTGAGGCTATGAACTATGTTTTACAAAGATAATAAAGGCCATGTTCGCTTGTCTTATGAACTGTACTATTTCAATGAACGAATAATGTTTCTCTCTCACAACAAATCAGCGAACATTACTTTCAATCATGACTTTTCAGCAAAGCGAACAGTGCCAAAGACGTAAGTGTTCATATGGGTTCACAGTCATATTTTATGAACGTACTTATTATGAACGGCTAGAGTAGATTGTGCAGATAGATTTTAAGATTAATGAAACCATCGTAAACCACATGCGGCTTAAATAACTCCAGGAAAACACACGCACATATGCTGAGTCAGATGTCCAAATCCAAGTGGCAAGTTCCAAAATAACAAGCCAGCCAGAGCTCAGTTCATCACAAAGACGCCCCCTTGATAAAGTAATTAATCACCGTCACTTTTCAATTTCTTTGCAGTATTATCAAAACGAAGTGGTAAATCTTTTTTTTTATAACTAGGAGGTAAATCATTGATCACACTTGACTACCTGAGTCCACATTTACGAGAGTTGCGTTCTTTTCGAGTGAGCTGTGCACGCAGCTTCTTTTCTAGCACTACACAGCTGATTAATCACTTTCTTTTCTGTTTAATTTGGAGTTGGCGTAGATAGACGCTTTCTTTCATGGCCAAAAAATCAAATCTTTCAAAGCAAAAGCATAGCACGACAAGAAAACTCCAGGCGGTACATACATCCTATGTCCTTTCCGTGTCTATTTTCTTCTTTTTTTTCCCCTCGGCGTGCTTACTAAGATGCTTTTTGGACTCTGGCTCTTCAAACTAAAAAGGACTGATGCGTCTTTCACTTTGGAGTTTGGACTCCTCAAAAGTGTTAGAAAATAGAGAGCTGAGAGACCAGCGAGTGATGCAAATGATCAGTGTGTACATATATACAGACTTCATGTGGACGGTTACATATGTAAAAAAGAGATGGGTAAAAAGACACTTCTTGATTAATCCCTAATTGAGCACTAAATTATAATTCTCAACACTCCCCCTTGATCAATTAGCTCTTTGTAGTCTTTACTGTTTATCTATTATGCATCTTTGAAAAACCCTGTGAAAAAAACCAAAGTAATACCGGTATACCAGGCAAAACTCCCTAAAATCCAGTGAAAAAAATAAGGAAAAACTCAATAATATACAATCACTAATGTTATTAGACTCTTTGAGATAAACTCAAAGTCTTAGTCTAAAAACACCTGGACCATATGGTCAATATACATCAAATATCATCTTCCAAAACCCCCAGTGGAGAAAAATCGATGATATAGCATATACCTTTGTGTTGAACATTGCCTCATCAAAAACTTTACATGAGAAACCTCAAAAGGGAAACTCACGTAAAGAAAAGAGTACAATGCATCTTATGTTCCAATATCATCCACCAAAAACCCCTATGGGAAAAAAATGAATGATATGACATAATCTTGTGTTGATATTGCCTTATTAAAAACTTTATATGAGAAACTCCAAAGGAAAACTCGTACAAAGAAAAGAGTATAATTTGATGTTTGTAACAAGTTATTAATCAGAGAGACTCTTCCCCTGATATTAGCAAACCTCGAAGTAAATTCATACCAATGCACTTAACACATAAGATTTTGTGAATATCTCTACAAGATTATCACATGACTTAGTTTGCAAATGTTCATATGTCCATATCACCTATGGAACAGAACCATCTTAGTGCAAAGTATTACATTAAGTATAACTTGTCTCCATCTACACAACACAAGTTATATTACCTTTATAGATAATGACCATTAATTCAATAGAATCAACACCGCATAACTTTAGTATGTGATATATCATCCTGTCAAGCTATACACATTTATGTGAAGCCTTATAAAATACAATATCAGAATGATTGGTGGAAATTACCATTACTGTCTATATAAAGACTTTCACAAAATGGTCTTTCCACATGTATATTAAGCCTTTTTAACGATCTAAAATTTGGGGATCTAATAAATACCAAGATCACTTGTGCTATTAAGATATCAAAAGATATTCTTAACTACAGTCTTCCAACATTTGGTAGAAGTAGCGCTGCTATTAGATAGCAAATCATTGCAAAATAACATCCGACCGAGAACTTTTGCAAGATTTATTAGCGCATAAATAGCACAGAGATAATGGACCACATGTCTCAATATCTCATCTCAGTCACTATGGCATAAAACAATCTTCCTCTATCATGAGTAGAACAA